GGAAAGAGGAGAAAAGAAGAGATGAAAAACTGAATAGCTTTCCAGTGTATGATAACTTTTTTAGGTTAAAATTATTTTAAAATAATTCAGCCTTTTCTGAAATTTCATCCAGGCAGAGATAAACTATTATCAAGAAGAAATATGAAAAAATCCTATTTTTAAAAAGTGATTCCCTTAGGGAAGACCTTACACATGCTACATTTCTTCTGTTTTGTAGGTCAGGCAGGTACACTCTCCTCTCTTTTAGGAGACAAATTACAGATGGAACATCTCGATAAAATTCAGAAGCTTTTTACCTTAGAGGCTTCCAAAATAAGAAACCAAATTTAGAGTAAACAAACAAACAAACAACACACTACCTCTACAAGCAATTTGAAACAGAAAAGGGAAAGGAGCTCTTGTTATGCTTCCTTTGGCTGTAAGGTCTGGAGTCTTCATGAAGGAGTAGCACATCCCAAATGCCGCACGTCCCATCACTGTAGTATGTCCATTAGCTACCACGTACGTGCAAGCACTGACTGTTTCAGAGCGTTGATGTAAGGAGAGTATTAACAGAAAAAATTCTTTAGCCTATGAAGACATTACATTGAGGATGGAGCATGAAGAATTCTCTTAGAACCCAGTCTTAGAGAAATATGAAATATCTGACTTGTAATGGGCACCTGTACCTCAGGCCTTGAACTTGGAAAGCTGTAAGCACCTAGGTAGTTCTTCTCCCAGAATTAAGCCTGTGGGAGCCAGGGCAACTCTATTTCTTGTGGTTTATCCAAAGATTTTATTATACTATTTTAACATAAGCATATAAAACCTATATCATACAGATTTATGCCATTTTAAAATTCCTTTTCCTTCCTTCTACTGTCTTCCTTTGTGGATATGCTTCTCATTCACTCATTTGTAGCCATTTTTCTTTTTTCTCCTTCTTATTCATCCCATCTTCTTGGACAGCGGTGCATGGATTTTTTCTCTTTTCAGCTGTATAGAAGGAGTTAGGTTAAATGAAAGACATCTAAACCAGCCAGCTGAGGAGTACACACGACAAAGCAGTAGAACCTGAAACAGTACCTTCCTGGCACTGCTGTGTGGAATGGCAGAAAAAAAAGTAAAATGCTGGTTTTTCTTATCACATGGTTCTCCAAACTGTCCGGGCAGAAACACCTTTCTCAGCCTGTGTTAACAGAGGACATTGCAGCAGGGAATTCCTCTAAGAATTCTTTGGGAATCTGGAACAAAGTACAATTGATACAATTTCAGCAAAGACTTAGTATATTACCTAAAAATACAACTACAGCTTAAGTGATATATAGATATCCTTTATGTGTTTCATTATGACTTTATTCATATTTAATTATTTCTTTATAGTTTTTAAGGCTGGTCAAGCTTATAAAATGTTGAATTTTTTTAAATGGGTTTCTTACAACTGTAAAAGGACCTATAAATAATAAAAAAATATAGGTAGAAAAATCACTGCAATAAAATTACACCTTCTTGTGACACTGAAGTATTAATACTCACTTTCTTCAAGTCTTCTGCCGTGGGTATTGCAGGTCTTAACCCTGGTTTGGCTAAATATAAAAGCAAGTAAAAACAAGAAAAACAGTCTCCTGTTAGTACTAGGAAACTGAGCCTCTGTAGAGACTTGAGTTTTTGTTCAAGTTTTCTGCTAGCATCATAAATCTCTCTCTTCATTTTAGCAGTACGTGTTTCTAGGCACATCTGTACCTGTCCCATGGTTGTTATTGAAGCAGATCCAACTATAAAAAAGTTACACTGTGACTTTGTGATCACCTTCAGACTTCTTTCCTGCTGTAGTACCTCACATGCTACTTTCATTACAAATTTGTTTTCCTAAGAGAATGAGTTGAGAGGCAAAAGGGCAGGCTAACAGAAAGGGTTTTAAAGAGATTATATTCTCAGAGATTGATAGACAGCATGATAGTTTAAGAAGCCTAATGAAAAAATAAAGAAAAGAAACCTGGACTTTTCTGCTACAGACAGTTCCCTCTCCTGCACTTCCTGTTCTTCCACAGGAACAATTGAGTTCGTGCCATTCTTTTCAGGAAAATTATCCTTCCAAATCAAATTATTCTGTGTTTCTACTTCAGAAGACACAATCATATGTCTTTGGGCAAAGAGAAATGCAATAAGATAATAAGGCGCATTTGCAGGAGAATATCATCAATCAGTGTCTCTTAAGTGGTTTCAGTTCCGTATTCTGGCCTAAATTCAGATTATTCTGGGTATACATTTACGAGAAGTAAACATCAAAGAACATTCCTGGACGGGGAACACGCTCATCTACGCTGTTACAATTTTTAGAGTGATCGCTGCCATGGTTTTTGGGCCAAGTGGACCCCCTGGTGCTTCCCCAAACAATTCCTGGTGCAGCTTAAGTGTTAGCATAGATGAGGGAGTGTTCCTAATCAGCAGCTTGCGTGTAAGCAGCCTGTTTTGGAGGGAAGAAGAGTTTCGTAGCGTGGATGTGGCCTGTTTCTTGCCAGCTGGCTATAGAGCCAGCAAACTGTTCCGTATATGCTTAATTTATTATTATAGGTGCAGCTTCTGTGGCTAATACTCCCTTTAAGCAGATGAACTTGTCAGTGGTCTATGCTAGCCTTCATATGAACTTGCCCAGGAGTGAGAAACTGTATTTTAGAAATACTATATCTAAAGCCTATTTCCTTCTTTACGGATCAGCCGGTTGAGCATTCTGAGAAGGAGATAGATGTCCCTTGTGCCACAAGGTCAGGACTTACTACTAAGTCTATCCCAAAGCATGTGACTAAAATTCTGATGCACTTCACCAGAGCAGTTTTGGTTAGGGACACTTACTACCTCAAATTTGTCTTTTTGAAAGGTGGTATGAGAGGTTTGAAATTTCTTCTCCATGGCAGAAGTGCTGCAGTGGAGGATATGAACTACCAGAACCTACTGTTTACATATTAATATTTCAGTGCTTTGATATGAGAGAATACTTCCACTTCAGGTGACAGTAAAAATATTAAAGCACTAAATAAATATTAACATCTAGAGCCAGCAGAGGGCTTCACTGATTTTATTGTCAGAAAAGGAATATAGTCTGAACGCATTAAATAAAAACTCAGAAATCGTCTACCATCGTGGTGAATGTTTTATTCATAATTCCCTGTGTATATGGAGTGTGTTTTCTCCTTCGGTGGCCGTTCTGAAGCGCCTAATCCTTCTCATGAACAATAGGAAACAGAGATACCACTCGCAATTGTTAAAGTCCTCCCTAGATTTAAGGCACCAAAAAGCCAAGCTGTCCTACATCTTAACTGGAGCTGTCAGAGACTACTGTGCAATTTACAACTAATTAAGTAATATTTATAATAATCCTAATAGTAAATTGCTATTTTGTTATTATTGTATTTTTATTTTTGTTTGTTTCATCAGAATATGAGAAAAAGATGAGCGGACGTGCCCTAAGCAAGACAATAAGTCACTATTCTTAACGTGATTAGAACCTTCTAAATAATCACAAAGACTATGAAAAAATGAAGCATAAAAGTAGATTTAAAAGAGCTCTATTGTGACTTTGAAATATGTATTGACATAAATTAGCTAATGAGCACTGATCCCTTAATTAAATATTTACAATTGTAGATAGTAAATAAAGTGAAAAACCTGACAATTACATTCATGCACTACCAGAACAGTAGTGCATTGCATCCTGGTATGATCCCACTAAAGCACTTCACACGCACTCAAAAATGCTTAAGAGGCATTAAGAAATTAATCCCTTTATGAACATGTTAATCCTGCAATTAGATTTTCAGCCAAAGTTTAACCAGGTGCAGTTCTTAGAAAAAGTGATAAACAGTTGGATGTTTCAGTTCTAAACAACTGAACTAATTTTCAAACCTTGGCTTGTCTCCTCTGCTAAATTTAAATGTATTCAATGTTTCTAGAGGAAGGAGGAACAGTTCGAACCCTAACTGGAATTACAGTTGTCTTGTAAGATAAAAGTAGTAGTAAAAGTCGTAAATGTTCTCCATGTCCGCTGGCATTAAGACCATCACTAAGTAGGCTTATGTTAGACAATAAAGGAAAATTTCTCAGGTGCTAGTATCATTCAGTACTGGCACAGAGCTCCTACTGAGGTTGCTACATTTACCTCATTGGATCCTTACAAAAAGCAGCTAGACAAACAGTGCCAGGATTCAGTGATTTGTAGTTGCTTCTACCTTGGATAGCGCTGTGGACTAGATGATCACACCTCTGA